TCCAAACACATAGTTTTTTTTTTTTATCATTATCATAAGACAGTAGCTATCTGGGTTTGTCTGATTACTTGTGTTGCTTTTTTCTCATGGTATTCTGGAACTACTGCAGAGACCTTCCTTACAGGGCCTCAGTAACTGAAATCATGCAGGGATGTTACTGCCCTTTAGCAGGTACAGGCAGCAAAGCCTGCGTGCAGTCACTGTATTTTTTATAGATACTATTCAGAGCTGCATCTGCCAAAGATTTCTCAGATAATATGGGCCAAACTGTGTTGTTTAGGGAAGTACTGGTACAGGACAGCATGACTACTATAGTCAGGGGAGAGCTGTACAGGTAGAAGGCAGTCATTCTTGGGGCACAGTTCTGCCCCTAAGAATGTTCAAATTCCTACATCTGGAGAAGGATTCAGGAGTGCTCTGAAGTGATTTACATCTCCAGGGACTAGCACATAGAATAGAGCACGTGAGTTCTTAAGTCTAGTCTGCCACTGCCTTAGGCTTTGTGAGATGAGAAAATGAAGAGGCCCTTGCACCTTTCCCCAGCATGGACTAATTGCTAAGACTGCATTTATGTAGGATATATTAGGCAAGAAAAGTCTGTTCAGCATATGGGGATGGACTGAGTGTGCATCATAGATGACATTTTTGCAATAATTATAAATTGAGACCATATAATTTAAATCATGGACTCACTATTGTGTTCATAGTATAGTCTCTGCACTTACTGTAATATATTGACTGTCTTAATAAGGAGTGAGAGGAGAGAGGAATGTGGAAAATTGTTTGAGAAATGTTTTGGTGGTTAAATTTTGGTCTTTAAACTGGATATGAACCTCATTTCCCTTCCCCACTCTCCTCTGTTAAGTGCCTTGCTTACTTGATAATGAGCAATCCCTTCCACCCCTAAAGCACCAGCCAGACACAATCAAGAGAAACATAAATATATAAAAAAACCATTTTCATTTTCATGTTTCCTTAGAGATATTTGTGAAAAACATAGGTTACCACACAAGTTAGTGAATAAGTGCTTAAAGATTTGTTTAAGCACTAATTAGTGCTTAATTAGAATTAGTGATAGAAGTTTTTATATATATATATATGTGTGTGTTGTGAGAAAGGAGTTTGCAGTCCACCTCTTTGAGACTCTGAAAATCAGTGTTCCCCGGATTTTTGAAGCTGAGGCCTCAGCAGTTGCAGGTGAAATCTCATCTCTAAAATGTTCACTTTTAAAGTTGTCATTTTACATGCCCTAAACATGCTTAAAGCCCTAAAACATGCTTAAATATCAACTTCATACAGACTGAGTTTGCAATGATTTTGTAGGAAGGCAAGCAGTACTGAAAGGGAGATGCCGTAAGAGCAAATGTTCCAGAAAAACAGCTTCTACCGTAACACTGGAGATAATTTTATGGCAAGAAAAGGCTTATATTGGAGTGGTCTATATTGTTCTATGTATATATAAACAGTAAAAATTAAACCAAAAATATACACATTTCTATATGACAAGAACTATCATCCCTCTAAGTTTACTTTCTTACCAGTTAGCACTGTGATAAAATTGTTGTTATTTACTGACAGTTAAAGCACTTACTTGAGTCAATTTACAGATATGTAAGTGTGGTAGAAATCTGCTGTAGTCTTTCTTGATGGTTTACTGATGGTGGTGGTGCTGTCTGCTGTGTCTTGTTCCATTGGGCCTGTCAGCTAGCAGAGTGGTCTGTACTGAAGTGTTTAACTTCTTTAAAAATGATGAGTACTTTAAAAGGATGGCACTTAGCTATGTTTGGATGTGAATTACACTGGAGAAGTAGCTTCTTTTCCAAATACTGTTCCCACCTGTAACAGCTGGATCATGTGAGAGCAGGAGAGTAGGAGGACCACCCCCTACACTAGAGGGTTAGTCTGCATAGGCAGGGAGGGGAAGGAGGATTTCATTACTTTGTAGCTGAAGTTGTGTGGGTACTTATTCAGGATTAAGGGAAAATCTGTGTTACTGAAGGTACCTGTGCTCTCCCTGAGTGCCTAGGTTAGGTGCCCTAGCAGAGCCAAGACTATGCTACACTGACACCACAGCAGGCTCAAGCCTCCCTCCTTCTCCTTGCCACAATTACTGAAGTTATCTTCACCTTCTAAGCAACAGAGCAGCGAAAAGCAACAGGACTTCAAAAGCACATCCATTTAAAGGTGGGCTTCCTTGCTGCCCTGATTCAGCTATTAGGACAGATACAAGAGAGCAACATAGAAGAAGGCTGCATTATCTCTGTGTGTCTCATACTAATGGAAGAGAGAATCAGCCAAGCAGCAGCTTGGAGGTTGTCCCTTCATTATATGTCCCTATAGAATTGAATTGCCTAGCAAAACTCATGATTTACAATGTCTGTGTTTGTCTAAAACACAAGTTAGATATTGTACAATACAAAATGGTAATTTTCAAGGACATGATTCAGTGAATCATGGGAAAGATTTTTATCAACCGAAGTGATATGATACTTGCTCAAGCCCTATTTTCACTAAAAAGAAACCATCAAACATAAGAGAAGACATTAAGCGTTTCAATCAAAAAAAAAAAAAAAAACTATAAGAAAAAGAAACCAAACAACCCCCAAAAGCCTTTTCAGTAAACACATACTCATCACCGTTATCTTCTAAGTAAATATCAAATGTATTACCTTAGTAAGTGTTTACAATATGCTGCCAGAGTAATAATTCAAATATTAATAGTAAACATTATGTTTAATGATCATTATTTGGAAATTAATTAAGGAATTGATTGAAGAGCTTATTAAGATTTAGATGGGAAGGGAGTTTTCCCTGTTTAAAAAATAGTAAGAGGATTTTCCTTTTTAAAAATCAAAGCACATGAGGTCGTCTCAGCAGTTAATTATCCAGGCTTCTTACCTTTAGGGAGTGCAAGAATAATACTAGCTTTAGCTGACAGAATATTCCTTTTATAATTCTTGCCTTTTGCATATATCTCCAGAAAACAGTGGCTAGAAAATTGTTAGGCTGACAGCTGTCCTCATTCTTTGTGTTCTTCACTGAAAAACTGGGGTAGTCATAGCTGTGTCCAAGTGCTAAACTCCTAAGATTTACAACTCTAAAAGGAGAAAAAGAAAAAAAAAGAAAAAAAAAAAAAAAACACACACCACACCTCAGGGTTCTCTCCCCTCAGCCTTATAATCTCAGCTACAGGGAATTACCTAAATGTCAGTGTTCTTTTCCTCATTGAAGCTAGTGACATAGTGAAGTATGAAATTAGTATACAGTATTAAGATCCATATACTGGATTTTATAAAAATGTTGACAGTTGCCAGCAATAAATAACATATTTTTGCAACATTTTCACAAATTGCTAATTAAATGAATATTTTAGTGAATGAAAAGTTAGAATGAGATAAGCGTGACTGCTCTTGCAGTTCTATCATGATTAGATCTGCAGGCACTGAAAAAATACACTTGTTTTCTGTGCAAATATCCTGGTAAATACTTTAACTAAACCAGTGTTTCTGAAAGGAACAAAAGAGTATTTGGGTTCTATTTTTTTTTTTTTTTTTTTTTTTTTTTTTTTTTTTAAGCCTTGAGAATAGTTATTCCTGCTACTTCTATAAGCTATAAATTTATAAAAATTTCACAGTTGATATTGTCACTTTAAGGCTGTCATGAGGTAACCAAAAGTAAAAATAGATGAAGTATTAGTAAGACAGTGCAAATTAATAAACTTTAAAAAATATTTTTCATTCATTCATTACAGGTAAAAGGTCAGTGTACGTGAGTTGGGCAGGGAGAAGGAAAGTGGGCAGAGTCTTTCCAAAAAATCTGATTTGGGAAAGGTCATAAAGAATCTAGCTTTCCAGGTAGAGCCTCCTTGCTAATTTTGAGGATATTTGTTTTTCAATAAGTAGAAACCTGAATTAGATCAAATAAGTCATAGTATGTGGAAGTCATATCAAATAAACTGGAAAATTAAATGTAGCTGGCCATTTTGATCTCAGTCACCTTTGTTGGAATATCAGCGTTATTTTGTAGACAACTCCAGTTATTTGTTGCAAACTATAAAATGCAGCATAACTTAATAAAAGCAAGGATTTAATAATCTGTCCTAGTCCTTAAAATACACAAGGCAGCTAATTCTATATTGTGAGTATCAAAACATAAAGTCATCTGTTTTAGAACATAGGAGTCAATCCCACAGTCCTCTAAACCTTGCTAGTTTTGCGTGAAGACAGTTACATGTCCAGTAGTTAGAAAACTCAAATACAATGTTTTAGAGCAGAACTCCTTTCAACATAACACATTCTGTATAAAACAGTATTTAGATAGCCATCAGATTCTCTCTCCTCCATACACACACACACACACACACACACACCAGCTTTATCTCTAAATACATGCTTATATTTATAACAAAGTGTTATCATTGTTTGCTTCAATGAATTGTTGAATGTGGCATTGACATAACGTGTAAAGTATGGACAAAACACAAAAGGCTCAGGTTTACGTTATGTACAAATGGAGCATATTGTCAATAACACGGCTGCTCACGTGCATGGCATTAATCATGTTCATAAGCAACTGCAGAAATCAGAGCCTTAGATTCTCTTCATATAACATCAGAACATCCTTTGAATTCTTTGAAAAGGAAGGTATTGTTAATAATTTCAAGAAAATTGGTAGCATTAAGCATTTGTTTGACTGTTTTAGACATCAAAATTCATTTAGTAGCTGATGCAAAATTCAATTTTGCTTTTTTGAGATTGACTTAAAGCTTATCAAGTCACTTAATATTCTTATTTCTCAGTTCTTGAAATTGAAGATAATTGCACAAATATGCTTGTTGCCTATGGGGACATGCAATATCAAATAAATGATTACTCAGAAACACATTACAAGTTTCCTACCAAAGTGCTTAAAATACCTTTTATGAATTTAAGTATTGTCAGCTTCATTGGGAGTGATTGCAGTATTATTCATTTGTAAAGACGATTCTATTTTATTTTCAGATTCACGACCTCTACCAGATGTAGCCCTGACAGGGAAGTGTACCCGAGAGTGTGATGAGTATGGCCACTCGGACTCCTGCTGGATGCCAGTTCGCACTTCTCCGGAAAGGAAGCAGAAGAGCCAGCCAAAACTCTCCACTTTCATGCCTGTTGATGAACGAGGCAGTCAAGAAAAGCTGGCCAATGGAGAAGCCTCCCTCATGGGCGATCGCAACAGAAACCTCCTAAACAAAAAGTTAACCTCATCCTATGAGACCTTCAGTGCGGCTAGTTTCAGCAAAAATGAAGAAGGCCATCCAGAGGATATCCCCCTCACACAGACAGGGGAATACAAGCCATCTCCTGTCAATACTTTAACTAGAAGAGAAGTTTACCTGTAGGCTAAAAAGCAGCAACCAAGTTCTTTCATGTATCAGAAGGAAAAGGGGCAAAAGTCTTAAAATGAAAACAATTTTACCTAAAAATGAGAAATAAAAAAGAGGGGGCCACCAAAGAGACAAAAGCTCTGCCTGCCATTTCTGCCTCCCTACGCAGGCGTTTAACTATACTGTCTGCCTGACTATACTGTACAATGTAGAAACCATTGTTGTTGCATGTCTAATTCCCCCTCACTGATTTTTATTTTCCTAAATTTATGGTTGCAAATTCCTCCCATAGTAACAAGCTTAATTAAAGAGAATACAACACACAGTTGTTACCCTCTGCAGAAGCATGAGTCAAGCCACTCATTTTCTTTGATTGTCATCTGGCTTGTTGAGGATAACAGGTCAGGGAAAATATATTCAAAACATATCATCTGAATATTGCTGATCCCCACCAGGGACAATCCTTCAGAAACCATACAGATAGAGGTAAATACAAAGGAAAAACTATTAATAGGCACTTTGTGAATACCACAGCTTTAATATTCTCACCTCTCATCTGAGGCTGGAAGCAACAGAAATACCATTCATCCTGAGACTGCAGTCCGGACCATGGCATACTTTCCACTGAATCTTGAACTCTAGTTCTGTTTTATCCATAGAACAACCGTGTTCTTGCTGTGTTTTTCTCTCCTTCTCTCTCGTTCTCTGTAATGATTACTTCAATGTAAACACAATTAGTAACACATAGATCGTTGCATAGTAACGACAAACTGTTGAACTCACTATTTTGGACAAGACCAACACCTGGCGGGGGAGACCGTAATAATAAAAAGGCCAAAGATCATACTATGGATCAGGGGAACTGCTCAGTATGGGGGCTTGGCTTAGAAGACTAATGTATTCACAAATATACATATGTACACATAACACACCTTCAGTTACATTTTGCACAGTTCACAAGCCCAGATGACATGCTATTTTTCCCAATGCGTTTAGACTTGAATGCCCAAAGGAACAGATTCAATTTTTTTTTCAGAAGGGCATGGTGTGGTGCAGCAGATGCTGCATATGATACAATACTTGCAGTTCCAGGGATTTTTTTAAGATCAAAATTTAAAAATAGTAATAGAAGGCTGTGTTAATGAGACTGGGAAGGAGAGTGTGGAGGATGGTATGAAGCAGTGACAAGAGCATATTACAAGTCAAATATGACGCCTTTTTTTTTTCAGAATGCAAGGAATGCTTGCTAAGTCTTTTGTCATCAGTGTTGCAGCTTACCAGTTGCTTCAGTTGTATCAAAGATATGATGCAGGTTTTCTTGAAACACAAGTGCATTAAAGCCAAGTGAAGTGCAATACTAACCAATGTCAAGACTCAATGCATAGGGCAGGTAGAAAATGCTGTAATAAACAGTGATATGATACTTGCACAGCAGTAGGTCAAGACAAGTCAAAAAGAAACCAAGTGACCACGATATGCAAGAGCTCTGGGCTGTAACAATTCTCATGATGAGCACTTCTTGAAAAGAACAGGAAATGAAACAGGTTTTTGTGCAATAAAAGCAACAAAGCGTGCAGAACTTCAGCTAGTAAGCTGACAATGTAGTAATAATTAAAACCGCTCAGACATTCAGATGAATCTGACAATCGGACAACACAGCAAGGGCAGCTTGAGAAGGGGGAAAGCATTCAAAACCCTGGATGTTTAACCTGACGTTAAGTAAGGCATGGCTAGACGGCTCTCTAGTATATTTTAGTCATGATGTAGCTTTGGGTAGTTTCTTGCTTTGAAGAATTACATAGAGTATATGTCTTAAATGGCCTAAGTAGAGGTTGCTAAAATCAGTACAACTCATCACATTTGTCCTTTGACTTCACTTCTCCTCAGAATAGTAGGATGTGGCCTTGTGGGCCATTCCATTCTCCTTGCTAAAGTTTACTTTCTTCATGTAGCACTAGTTTGTGTATAGCATTTGAGGAATGGGCACATTTTAGAAAGAAAATATTAAATGAAAGATAAATAATGATTGAACATTTTTATGTTTAATTATTCAAATAAAATGGAGAGATGCAAACTAGTACTTTGTAATGAGACTGCATAGAGCAGTTACTGCTTTGTATAATCTGTAAGTACCTGTTAAAAAATGCTTCTAAAATGCTTATGTAATGTATACACATTTTTCTTGCACGTTTCAACGGAATACACAATTGCATAACACAAATGTTCAACAGGTTTTTTTCTTTAGTAAGAATTTGTTTTATTTAAAAAATAAACACAAAAAAGAACATTAGATAGCTTGTTTCAATATATTGTTAAACCCTTTTTCTATAAAGCTAATAATACAGGTCATAGAAGACCTTCAGATTAAATGGATCAGCAGTCACTCACCAATTTTTGCACCACATAAGACAGTCATGCCATTAAGTACTTTACTTGTGTGCATCTCCTTAGAATTAAAATGGGTGTGAAAAAAATTTTTGAAGAAAATCTATGTACTGTAAGTATTCTCAGTAATTCTAGTAGAACTAGCCACTATTAACATGCTGATTACTCTTCTGACCTGGCATGACACAAATATATTTTGTGTTGGTATTTTTCTTTTTATTTGAAATAGGTTAAAATCTGGTGCCACTCCATAAATAGAGTGCTTTTATATAAAAATAAACAAATAAAACTATAAAAATAATTAGGGTGAATGCAAAATATGCAACTGTGCCTTTTATACCTGTTATTATGGTAATGTGGTAGTTGGGTTTGGACACTGAGGGACAAGGGGCTATTCCCAACTTTTTTGAACCTGTATATTTACCTGTGTTTATTTTCTGAGAAATTATAAATAATATATTTAAAAACAAGCCTTTTGCCAAACTCAGTTAATGGACCAGTCTTAAGCATTATTAACACGAGGCTGTGGTTTAAGTACATCTTGAGAGTTTTTTTTAATTAATATTTGTGTGGGGTTGGGGGTTGTTTTCATTTGTTTTTAAATCCGCTGCCTGGAAAACCATGATCAGTCTATATTATAGTCGTTTATCAAGGTGTCATCAGGTCATGTTGCCAGGAAAATGAACAATTCTTTTTTATTATTATTATTAATTGCTTTTAGCTGCCATTACATTTTGGTTGTACAGTATAGGAGTCAGCCTTTTATTTCCTTCCATGGGAAACTCAAAAGAGCTTTGCATGTATTTTACATTAGGGCACTTTTATAGATTGAAGCGTTAATATATAACTTTTTATGTATTAGAAAATTCAATAGCTTTGGTCTAAAATCTAATGCTCATTCAGGATCTCAGATCCACTATGCTTATTCAATATGGTTTCTGACTGGCCTGCTGCCTGAGTTTCAGGAAAAAAAAGAAAAGAAAAAAAAAAGTCAAACATTATTTTTTATGTGGGGGAAGAACTTAAATGGGATTGAAACGATGGGCTGAAAGACTACCCTAGGAAGCTGTCAAGCAAGAAAATAAAGAGTAAAGCTAAGCGAACCTGCCACAAGTACAGTCATCACTAAAGACTTGTAAGGAACTTGAACAACAAGATAATTTTCTGTATGTTTCTTTGGTGATAAAGAAATATACAGTGTCTCCTTGATGGAAGAAAAAACGTAAATATGTGGAAGAAGACGTCATTTTCCAGCTACCTGGGGTATACTTTCAGACATCTTCCTAAATTTTAAAGCACTTGCATTCAGTGTGGTACGATCTGTTTGTAATATTAATCATTGACTATTGTTCTGCAACTTGGATGTTGATAGTGAAGCAGAAAACAATTTATCATTGTTTATTATGAGTCACTATGCACGCAACTATGCTAAACATGGCAAAATGTATTAAACGCTAGTCCACCTCTATTTATGAAATATTTACATAATTTAATTTGCTTTTGTACAGTTTTATGTAAATAAATTGCTTGTCATTTTTGTCTCTGCAAATTAAAATATAACATGTTCAACTGGTTGCCCATTTACTAGCATACTTTTACTGACAGTCTATCTACTTACACTGACTTAAATTGTATGTTGCTTTGTTTATTTAACCTATTTCTTATATAGCAAGAAGAAGATGCTCCCATAATCAGACACTTCTTCAGCTGATGTAGTAACTGAGGTTTTACCTGTCTACACAATGAAATTTAATAGGAATTATTCAGTCAGAAAAGCACACAGCTATTTTCACAGTAGAAAAAGTGTAATGACAGCACTTGCTTCCCATTACTGTTTAAAATGGCCTTTTTTTTTTTTCTTCCCTCTTTTAAGCATATAGAAACCTTCATATTAAGGAGAAAAACAAGATATTAGTAAAAGCTCAGGTATTTCCATTATGGTAATAGCCGTCGTAATATGTACAGCATTATTAGACATAGTATGGTAACGTTTTAATTATCCTCAGGATTCTCAATTTCCCCTGAAGTTTAGAACCATCAACCCTTCTTTACAGTTTATGCTAGAAGAGAGCAACATATCTGATACAGTTTTGCTCTGCAAAACGTGAAATAAAAACTTGCCTGTCTTTCAATATGCGAATAAAGTCAATTATTTTCCAACATAACTACAGAGAATAACTCAGCTTCAAGAAGGTAGGTCTGAAAAGCAGAGAAAGCTTATCCCTTAGCTGCCTGGATCCCACAATGGTTAGAAAGATAGTAATAAAACAGGTTCCAAAGCAGCCTTTAGTTGGGACATAGATCAGTCGTACTATGTGAAAAGTAAAAAATGGTGAGAGGAAGAAGGAAGATTATTTGCTTCTTGCTTATTTGCTAACACCCTTTCACTGTTAGTGATGACCACTAAATACAATATTGCTATAGTTATTGCAAAATCATTGTGTAGCATTTATCACCATAGAAAATACTGCTTCTATTTTTTTTAACCTTAGTTACATATTGGGATTTTTTGCATACAGACTGTCCAGAACTTTTTATTTCATATTTAAATAAACTTGGTGTTGCAAATTTATATCTTTATATCTGACTGTGCATTCAGTTAACATTGCCTGGTCTTCTGTAATGAAGATGTCAAGGAAGATTCTTCCTCCAATAAACAGAGGTCTAAATCTGCATGCCCTTGGAGAGAATTCAGTCCACCAGGTGACCCCAAATCTCCCACATCACACTCAAATGAGCTACCCCTCAACCTCTTCCAGCAGCAGCAGTATTTTAATGAGTAACTTCAATCAAGCTTTCATGTTTATGTTATCCTAGATGTAGTATACAAGGCATGACCTTATGTTTGTTTATTTTGTCTTTTATCTTCATTCCTCTTGTTTACTAGCATAATCGAGGTAGGTGATTAAAAGAAGATAAAATAAATTTCCTGAACCACAGAGAGTGATAAGAGAGGATAGTATTAACTGGTGAAAGCTAATAATTTATGCTCCCCTTTGACCCTGGCTTCATTTCTCCCTCCTGCACTGCAGTAAAAATATAAATCTTATGCAGACTAAAATTAATAAATGTGGAGCCTGCTGTTTTCAGTGACAGTCAGTGATAAGACAAGAGGCAATGGCCACGAACGGAAGCACAGGAAGTTCTGCCTGATTTTGAGGAAAAACTTCTTAATTATGAGGGCAACAGAGCACTGGAACTAGGTTGTCCATAGAGAAT